CGAAACAAGCGAAGAGGATTTAAACTAGATTTTCTTGCAATTTAACAAGAAAATATAAAATGCCCGATTTGACGAGTTTCAAATATTCCGAGCACGTGTTTCGCCAACATTGTTAAGAGAGAAAGAAAAAAAAATTTACTAAACTTAATGCAAACAAGGCCCGAAGCCATTTGTTGCTCGGAACTCATTAATTATTGATTAATGGAACCTAGATATCAATGCGAATAAAGAAGCCACTACCCGCACTCTTATTAAATAAGAAGTTCTAACAGTTTGTTGTACGTACTTGCTCAACACAACTTGGACTAGGTTATATGTTACAAATTGTGGAGCGTATAGCATTCTAAAGTTTTTGTGCCCATCGCATCGAAACAGCGGCATCCTTTGATAATGCAACTTCGTGGCAATTCTCAAAGGAACTTTACCGGGGATGCTTGGCGCGACTTGGCTCTTATTTTGAAAAATACTAGAAAAAAAAAACTTAAAAATCCCTATCGGACTTCCACCAATTTTACGGGAAGAAGGAATTTCGCCTTGTTACCGCGTGGCTGTTTTGCCCTGCGAGAATTAATACAAAAATACGCGGATGACTCATCCGATTGACAAAACTTCTTTGCCACAGTGTGTTCGCGCGAAGCTCGAAAAAACTCCCCGAGCCGATTCTCCATAAATCCCGAGAAGTAGCTTCATGTCATGAATTTTAAGAAAAAGGGGCCCCCGATAGCCACATGCATCCGGTGGTCAATTTGCCTTCGGTAAGCAAGCCCGCCTCGTTGTTAATAAGGAAAATAATCTCCCAGGAAGGTCGTGAGCAGAGTTCGGCGGTGAATTATGGCCGCGGGAAGTGCGACGACGATCCGACGGATCGTGCGACAAGAAAGTTCGTGGACGTGGACGCCTCTCTTAGTCGTCGTTGGGGAGATTATCGCTGTCGGCGATTTTTAAGGATGCTTACTTGCGCAATTGCGTGCGAGGATGGGAGTCGGTGAGGCCCAACTGCTCCGCGGGCAAGAGTCGGTTCGAAAAATGATGACTGACGGTAGGTAGTTTAGGTAGCTTTGGCGTTACGCTTCTAATCGGCATGGCGATTCGCCCAGTGCAAATACGTGTCGTCCCTTGGATTTTGCACAATTTTTGTTTATTGTTTTTTGTTTTTTTGTTTTTTTGATACCGCCCTACGAATAATGAATCGCTCGCACCTGCACGATTCAGCTTGTATTCAGGCTCTGAATCTAATGTGGTACACACTTGTGCAGTATGTACTATACTTACTATTTGTATCAAGATGAACACGGACACAGCGATGTTACTTGTTAATATAAACAAAAGTCTATTCTAAATACATTGTTACAAGCGCGAAGAGGAAATAAGTTCAAGTCCGAGTGCTAAAAACTTACGAGAAATCGGCGAAGGAATAAAGTCGAGAATGATTTACCTCACAAATCCATATCTGTTTGACAATTCATTTTTTCTTCTTCTTTCATCGTTTTTTTTTTTTTGTTTTTTTTTTTTGTTTCATAATTATTAATTATGGGATGGGCCTGATACATGAACAAAATGTTGCAAATACATAAAGTATGGCCATTGATTTTTTATTTTCTGATTTTATCGTTATACGGAAAATTGTTTCGGCTTTGAAAATCCTAATGTGACCTACATAATACATGTTGGGGCTATACTGTAAGGAATAATTATGAAAATGATTTATCCAATGGTAAGTTCGGCAACAAGTGGTACATAGTTCGATAGGATTGTCGGTAAGGTTGACCATCTTTGATCGGTACTTTTCAGGAAAATCGTTTCCTCATTAACGATTAATAAACATATTTATGATGATAGCGAGAAGTGTTTCCAAGCTCCATTGCTATTAATAAAGTCAACATTCGCTTATTTTATAAGGGCGGAGCGGGCTCGGTCAGTCAAAAGTTGCAATTAACTAAGAGTAGAGAAATATTAAATTCGGAATATCCTCATCTCGTTGGGTTAATATTCATGGAATAGATGTATATTCGTAATACCCCTCTCCCTCCAGTCCCTGTCCCATGAATAATTTATTGCTTAGAATTTTGCTTTATTTATATTTACACATCATTATGTGATTGAAGATTAAACAGTATGAATATTTTAAATATTCTGACTACCAATTTTATCTCAAGTTATAAGAGTAATAGTAATGAATAATTTATAAATTATATTAAAATTTACATAACATTTGTAAACTATTAATCGAAATATTATTTATATTATTCATAATAATTATAATGCCTTCAGTAATGAAGGGTTATTTAGTAATTATTTTTAATAATAATAATAACTGTTATGAATTATTATTATTAATGTTAAAATTACAATAATGCTGATGATGATGATGATGATGATGATGATGATGATGATGATGATGATGATGATGATGACGATGACGATGATGATAATTAATAATAATAATTATTGCAATTACAATAAAGATTGTAATTAGATACAATAAAGATTGTAATAATAAAAATACCTATGATAATGAGAACAAAAATGTTGCTCGCATCTTAAAATTCAAAGCTATTTTTTTATTTTGAATTTTCATTAACAATATAACTTTATAATGATAATACTTATAATTTAAGTATTTCAGAGGCTAAAAAGCTATGGTTAAATTTAACAATACTACCGATGGAATATATGCAAGTATTTAATTTCAATTTCATGCAATAAATATTAATACTATATTTAGGAGGAAAACCATCGGCTTTCAAATCATTTTATATTTACATTTATACAAGTTTGTTTTTAAACGCATGAATAATGAAAATTACTGTCAATATATCTTTTTTGAAATACATGATTTTATTATTTATATTTGGTCTGTAACTCTATGTAATTATGTAAATTAACTTCACTTTCAATTTATTATTGGTCTTGAAGCATTCATCAGAGATAGAATTAAAAAATGACATCTTGCCGGTAAAATGTTTGTTTTGCATCATTTAGATTTCCTACATAATTGTAAACATGGACTTCAATTCTTTTTAATATATATATATATATATATATGTTTGAAGAAGAAAAAAGATTATATTACTCATTCGAAATCATCAGCTTTGAATTGAGGATTTTTTCTTTTTCTCTTTTGTAATATATATCATATATTATATATCATATAATCATATATAATATATCAAACGAAACATGCAGAAATTAAAAAAATTTGGCTCGAGTAAAATTTCATCTGTACAACATTTAGAAAAATATCATGCAAAACTACACTGAATACCTTACAACAGTAAACATCAATCTGAATAAACACAAGCACATGGCCTCTACCTCTTTAACATCAAAACTTTCCCCGACGGCTACAAATTTTGTTAAAAATCACGTGCATATCTGAAAACATTGCGGTAGACTGTATTGTAAAATTTAAAATGCATAAACAAGACAAGAGGGACTAACGAGGTGGGGAGAATGGAATCGAAACCAAACCCGTCGCGCGGAATACTTAGAAAATAAGTTTGCTCCAACATCCGGTAGAAGCAAACAAATGGAATTAGATAAAGCGTAAACAATTGTAAGTGTAAAGTGTATAGCAACGAAAGTCTTTCTCACTGTATTTTATACTTTCTTCTAAATGGAAGCCGAAAAGAGCTACGTCCAGCAGTGGCCAAATCACAGATTCTCGCAGTTCGTACATTGACAGCGTGAAAAATCTTACGTAGACGACATGTGCTCAAATTACCGTTACGATGGTCAACATTTTTTCTTTCTCATACGTATGACTTTCGGTCAAGATTACAACATTAAAATATCATCCATTAAATCCGCTCATCTGTATTTGCAATAAATTAAAGATTTATCATCTAATTGAAATAAATGAAATGACGTTTCGTGCATTAAAATACTTTATTCAATAATAATTTCGAGCTCACTGTACACATTCCTTATAATATTGGGCATAAGATTTTTACCAAAATTTAAAACCTTAATTTTAGAACATTGAATGGTACCAATGAATTGTCTTTTATGATGCACATTTGGAAAATTCGACTACTGACATTGGGCCAATGGATTTTTAATTTTTGAGGCATAATTTTCAATGCAGATGTATACATTATTAAGAATGCACGATGACAATGTTAATTTTGAACGGTCGATGGGAAATTACAACAAACATCATATCCTTATTACTCCATATTACTCTGCTGGCTAATTTTATACGCACATTTTATTGTCACAAATAGAGAAAGGAAGCTGCTTGCTTGATACATTACTAATGATACTGTTGATTTAGTTTGAAAATTGGCTGTAACATGTCTTGCACGCAGGCAGGCTCTTAAATATAATTCTTTAGTGAAAATTGTATTTTTAGGTGTAAAGTACAGATTTCATAGGACTGTGAATAAAACGGTTAATGCTCATTGACCTAAGCTATAATTAAAAGCAGCTAATTTTTGCTCTCAATGAATATATGTTTGTTAAACAAGCTTTAACATCAGGAATACGCAGATGAAAGTAAAGAGTGACATAGTCCGTTGGGTCTGCTGGAGTCGCACAAAACACTGAGATCACCTATCGTGTGCAATTGGCAAATTAGGCAACTGTAACACAAGTGACGGACAATTTCAGAATTTATGCTGTAAGCTATGATAGGCAACATACATATAAGTGGAGACTGCTAAGATTGACAAAGCGTGTGAGCCAACCGTATTAAAGGTCCAAGAGGATGTCTTTAAAGTGGAAATGCTAAGGCTAAGAGAGACAGACTAATTAATTAATAAGGAATGAGAGAGCTTCCAATGGCAGCAAAACACATCTTCTAGGTAAGAGCATGCAAGAAAGTGGCAAAGCTAACTAGATGGGACCTAGTGCGCAAGGATGGCTCATCCGTAGACTCGGCAGAGTATCGGGCACCGAGGACCAGAGTGAGGACCAGGGCGAGGGTCGGGAGGAGCATCGTCGGGGATAGCGCTCGCGGGAGTGTAGCGGTCGAGACCGGCTAAAGTCGCGTGGCTCACCTCTTGGTCGCGTCGAGCAGCGCGCCCTGGAAGGACTTGGCTCCGTGCTCGTAGCTGACGACGAGGATGTCGGGCAGCGCGGACTCGACGGTCACGAGTATCCTTTCCCCGGGTAAGAGACAGCGGCTCCCTCGGGGGCCCCCCTCGTCGTCCATGGCGCGCGCACTTGGGCCGCCTCGGGGAGGTCCGGCAGGAGGTCCTGGCGACAGCGGCGACGGTGGCGACGACGAGGTCACCCCGGGCCTTGGCTGCGCGGGCACGGCGGTGGCTTCGGCTCCGGGTCGCGCGCGCGGGGCGGAGGACGCGGGCGCTGCGCACGACGGACAGCTGGTGTGGCCGCTGCCGTGCCGAGGCAGCGGCATGGCCGAGGCGGCGGACGCGCGACCGCGGCTCCGTTACCCGTGCGCATGCGCCCCCCCTACGTAGTCAGGGGCGGAGGCGCCGGCCCCGGCTCCCCGTCCCCGGTTGGCGGCGATGCGGGCGGTGGCGACGGCGGTGACGGCGGCGGCGGCGAGCTGTGGTGGTGGTGGTGGTGGTTGTGCTGCTGCTGGTGGTGGTGGTGGTGGTGGTGGTGGTGGTGGTGGTGGCGGTGGCGACGGCGGCGGAGGCAGCGGCAACTGCTCTGACGGTTGCGACCGCGGGCCCGGCGGGGGCACTTTGAAGGTCAACGCGGGAGGTTAGGATTCCCGGTTACGACGGCGGCTGCTCCGCTATTTGATGCAGCGACGGACACGAGGATGTCCGCTGACGAAGCTATTGGAGTAAACGATACCGGGCACGCGCGTGCTCGTTGTCCACGACGAATCTTGCCGCCTAGGTTTTACGCCTCTCTCCGCTGCCATGTGCTAAAATATTCGTCCGCACTGCTCGTTACTACATTAAATTGAAAACTCTCACGACGACGAGGGGAGGGGGGATTCTTGTTATTCGTAACGGGAGCACTACGTCCGTTTAAAACAACCTTTAAAACAAACATTTCAACCTAGTAATTATAAATACAATTAACAATCTGTTACGAAATATGCATAAAGAGCCAATGAAACGAAGAGAAACGGCTATTGAACAATGAAAGAATGATCGAACGAACGAATAAACGAACGAACGAAAGAATAAACGAACGAACGAACGAACGAACGAACGAACGAACGAAAGAATAAACGAACGAACGAATGAAGGAACGTGCGAGCAAGTGAGTGAAATAGAGTGAGAGAGAGAGAGAGAGAGAGAGAGAGAGAGAGGGAGCATGTGTCTATACAAGAGTGGGGCACCGCCGCATCGAGTGCGACAGGCATACATTAGACATTATCTTTTATCTAATGACTTAGTGATCAAATAAATAATGAAATTCGTAAATTTGCAGCGATGTATTATTACGTATATTGACGATAAACATACGGAATGAGGAATTTTATTTAAACACGAGCTTCTAGACTCGAGCAACCGATAATTTTACTTCTACTGATTTATCAAGATAAACAAAGAAAATATGATATTTTCTTTAATTTAATTAAGATATTAATGTAAAGTAAAATTTGAAGAAGAGATTTATGAATAACGAATTGAAATTTTTATGTCAAATGTAAAAGCTAATCTTTCGTATGCTACGCGGGCAAAAAGAAAAAGAGATTGGCTGGGAATGAAAGTGAGGGGAGATTGTGAAAAAGTGAAAAAGAAGAACGGACACAAAGGAAAGGTGTAAAACCGAATGAGCTGGTAGATAAATTTTGGTGAAATCGTTATGGTGACAAGTAAATTTATTTCGATTATAAATAAATGCTTTAAGTTTCTTTATTATATACGTAAAAAAAAAAAAAAAAAAAAAAAAAAAAATTATAATTATAAAAATAAATAAATAAATAAAAGCAATCGTTATAATGATTATGGAATTTAAGTAGAAGTAGAGTGTAGTAGAGAGATAAACTCAAATTCCTTCAATTGATTATTAATATGAGCTATTTATCATTTATTGAGATTAATGAATTTATTATTGGTATGCATAGCGAAAATTTTGATTTACAACTTTATGAAAATATTATTATTTAAATAATAATTATAAATATCGAATTTAATATAACACATTTATATCATGGGAATACGCTGTTTAATGAACATTCTAACAAATTATTTCTAAAACAATTGTTGTAAGTTGTTCGAAAAGTCCGACAAAATCTAATAAATTCTAGGTGAGGAAAAGGGCGTGCCATATAAAGAAAGAGAAAAGCATCGAAGTGAGAGTGAGAGTGAGAGCAGCTGTGGCGTTGCGCGGGGCGTGGGGGGGGGGGGGGGGAATGGAAAGGGAGAGAGGAGTACAAGACAGATACCATCCATAGATCGATAGAAATGTTCTTTCGTTTATTGCTATATGTACCAACACAAGAATGATAATAATTTTGTGATCTCCTAATATTAATAAAGTATATGATAATCTTCCTTGATAATATAGCGTGCAACTAGCAAAAGTTCTTGGTTTGTACAATGATTTTATTGTTAGTTATACAATCAAAATTCGAATGACATGTGGTTAATAGATATTCTAAAATAAACTACTTCGTTTCGTATTATATAATTCTTGATTGTGAAAAATATAAATTTTTCGATAGATATTTATTATGATTATTATTAGCTTTACGAAAATTGTAATTTAGATAGATGAAAGCTCGCATAATGTATGCAATTTTTATGCCATAGTAAAATAAAAAAAAAATTAAAATTACACACTTGCAGAGTCGCGCGCTCGCACTTCACACACGTTCAATGTAAAATTCGTGTTTAGTGCTCAAGTTAGCAAAGTAATTTCTGTTCATCTAAAAATTATAATTACCATTAGGTTGCTAAGCGAACATATTAATGAAATTACTCTTTATAATTATGAACATCTTTGTTTTACATTTATTTAAACAATTTATTACGAATATAATGGCAAATACGGCTGTAAAGATAATATTTTATTCAATTATAACAAACAGTCATTAAATATCTTCTTTTAGTAATGTGACAATATTAATAGATTATTTGATTAATTATCGAATCGAATAAATGAATCGCTTTCGATAATAAAATCAATGTACATTGTTTGAATAGGAATAAAAAAAAAATACTATCCAGATAGGAATACGAGGAGTTAAATATATTTTTAAAAATAGCAAAATATATGGTATATTTATGGATAAAGGGAATAATACATATAAATATATTAAATAAGTAACATTAAAATAAGGTAAATGGAAGAAATAGTAAACTATAATGTGCAAAAAAATTTAATTGTAATATAATTATTTGGATATTCGGTACGTACACTTTGTATTATTGCATGTGTTATATAATGAATAAATGATCAAAATGATATCAAATTAATTTAATATTAGAAGAAACTATATATCTATATCTCCCCCCCCCGTGTGTGTGTGTGTGTGTGTGTGTGTGTGTGTGTGATGAGAGAGGGAGAGAGAGAAGTGCATAATATTTATGTTAAATTCATTGAAACAACAAATGTTTACACATATTACTGGAATAATTTTACAGGTTGAGATTAGTAAATTTGACTTTTTTTCTCTTGTATTTCCTTGACTGATATACAAGTTTCGAATTTATTGTTAAATGGTGTATCAAATAATTTTTTCATGGAAAAGCAAGGTCTCTTAAAGGTGTGTTTTCCTACTCTCCAGTCTAACATAGATTTTCATAAATATGAATTCTCGCTCTAGAAACATATTTCAACGCACTTGACTCGTATTTATATTTACTAATGTAATACGATAGATGTTCAAAGGGCAAAAGTACACTTGAGCCTTGGGTGGACTTGGATAATGGAAGAGCGAGCTTACGTATCGATCACGTAGCTGAATTTTTGTGCCTTTTCCTGCTGCTTTTTCTTTCTTTCTTTCTGTCTTTCTTTGTTTTTTTTTTCTTTTTTTTTCTTTTCTTTTTTTCTCTTTTTTTTTTATAGATAGCAAAGGTAACAAGCAGTCGAATCGAAAGAGAGCTTTTAGACCTTACATATAGTACATATAGGACGCACGAAAATCCGAAGTACGTAATCGTCGGAGCACAAAGAAAGGAAAAGGAAACACGAAGATTCGAGCATAAAAACAAAGCAGCTTTTACACGAAAAATAATAGGTCAGCTATTGGTTGAAAATTTTGAATTTTATAAAAATTATTTGAGGAATGAAAGAAACAGAAGAAAATAATGTATTATCATTAATAATGTAATTACTGATAATATGGGTTAATTGATATAAGAAATATGGTGTATTTATCTAGCGTCGAGCACAGGAGAAGTTTATATTTTATCTCGGTTGTTAAAATCAATTATTTTTAAAAATATCTCGACGGGAACAACGCAATAATTAATATATCACGAATACAAATAAAAAAAAAAAAAAAATGGAAAAAAAAGAACAAAAGAATTAACCACGTATAGGCATATAGATTTTACTCTTCCTGCATTGTGATAAGCACAAACATGTATATCGTCGGCTATTCTTCTTAAAAACTGTTCTGGACATTCGTGCAAAATATCCACGCTATTGGTAAATGCATAATGAGAAGGGAGATCCGATGCTTAAAAGTATAAACATTGGAAAGAAGAGCGCGGCGAAAAAAAAAAAAAAAAAATCGACATGAATCACAGGCATGAATTCCTCGACGAAATGAATCCTGACTCCGTAGTCGAAACTTATACACGCGAGCTGTTACATTGTGCAAAATACGTCAATTACAGAGAAAATAGCAGTTACGAAATATGCAATAAAAATTGTAACGCCAATGTTAGGCGGTATAATGTAAAGGTAATGCCATGGATGGACTTGGGATTTCGGTGATTGTGAATAAGAAAAACGACGTATTTCATATAGTCGATGAAAGAAAATTAACCGACAAAAATAATACCCAAACAAACATTATAATCATTATTAATTTGAAGATTCCTTCTTTTTCCTTTACTTTCTTTCTTTCGTTCTTCCTTTCTTTCTTTCTCTTTTTCATAATTGTCCCTTTTTATGCGGCATTAAAGCCTAAGCTGCAGGTAGTAAGGGACATGTTAATAATTAATTCCAGCCGACAAACACTTGGAGTATGGAGTCTGATCAAGGCCAGGCGTCCGAATAAAAGAGACGAAATTAATGAACGAGCATATTACGAAAGCATACGTTTCAATTATGACTCTCGCCATCGATGCCATAATATATATGACAAAGCTTTGTGACAGGGGGTGGGGTCAGAGCCGAGGCAACGCTTATCTTTACGTACGATCGCCTAGGCTCTTTTAATACGATTGGTAAGGAAAGTTTGGCTCCCATGATGCGGATAATATCACTTAGCAAAGCTTATCGGGGCGAATATTGTTTCTCTGTTATGTTCAGCAACGATCACGCGGCTACTTTAAATGCCATTAGGTCTAGGTATTACCGAGACTTTTTTCTACTACCGCATTGCAATCGACCGGCGCGAACACGAGTCGGACCACCAAGTGCGCACAAGTACAGGCCGATGGCCTTTT